TAACAAAACACCATACAGGTGAAAAATAAAACATTTTTACCTGTCAAAAAGACTTGTTTTAGCCTGTTTTTGGTTTTTAACAACCTGGAAGATAGGTAGTTGTACTTGATAGCGAAGATTGACAGCTGTAAGCTTTAAGAGAGTAAATTATATGAGGGTATGAAATAGTTAGGTAAAAAAAGGACAGGTGAGTCATACAGGTAAAAATAATAAAAGGGCAGGTAAGTTTTTTATGCAGATAAAGATGTGTATAAGATGTGTGTAAGAGATGTGTGTAGATATGGATAGATAAGATGGGGGGCGGTGGGGAAGCCTAATGGTTAAAGCGTTGGCTCGTCACGCCGAAGACCCGGGTTCGAATCCCCACATGGGTACAATGTGAAGCCCATTTCTGGTGTCCCCCGCCGTGATGTTGCTGGAATATTGCTAAAAGCGGCGTAAAACCAAACTCAGTCAGTGACAGCAGTAGATAAGATGTGTAGGTAGAAAAATATGAATATGATGCATAGGTAGATTACATTCATAGGTAGATTAAGATATGGATTAAGATATGGATTAAGATATGAGATGTAGCAAAATAGAGCATATATGAGATATTATTATTATTTTTTTTATTATTATAGGATATTTATATAGCGCACATATCCAGGCAACTAGTGCATGCTCAAGGAGCTGGTAGGGCGCAGTGGGGTAGCCTAGTGGTTAAAGCGTTCGTTTGTCATGCCGTAGACCCGCGTTCGATTCCCCACATGGGTACAATGTGTTAAGCCCATTTCTGGTGTCCCCCCACCATGATATTGCTGGAATATTGCTAAAAGCGGCGTAAAACTAAACTCACTCACACACTCAAGGCGCTGGTATTTTTCCCTCGATCATTGGATGTCAATCTCAACAGCACATCGTATTATCAATCTCAACTCCCTGGGGTGTATACAACTCTTGCAGCCACTAGGCGCACCGAGTTATTGTGGCTTTCATCATTCTAACGAGATATGGTAGATTCAGGGTAGATAAGATGGGTGGATAGCATGCACTTTGAGCATGCTTAGGCATGGATATATGCACGGTACAAATATGCTATTTGGGTTGTTATTATTATTATTACATGCAAGGATAACTCTGAGCCTGGAGACAAGGCAGTTGCTGGTCAATAGCACGCAGCTCTGGACATGATATTGACTTGAGGCTGATATGTTGTACATTCATGGAGACCTGTAGTAGATCCTGGGACTTGTACTTATCTCTGCGCTGCAGACAGGAGACGGACACTTACCAGGGTCTTTGTGTAAGTGGAGTGTATTCTTCCCCAGTCCCGTCATCTCTTTGTTTGCAAAGTTCAAGGCAGGTCATCGAGATTCCTTGATGACTATTTTGTGAGTTACTGTATGTAGTATATGAGCTACTGACTCGCAAAGTTGATCTCTGCCCCATGTTGACTCCAGAATGGACATGGTTCAGTCTAGTGTAAACTGAATGGCGAAACTATGTGACTTATGACTGACTCTGACATGACGAATGCTTTTCCTTGAGTTAACATTGTTGCCTGGATGTTAGTGGTCAGTGGTACAGAAACGTATCACGATACTAGTAACCCAAGATGGTTTATCTTATTGCAGTATCATGATACATCCTGTCAATTTGTTTACCAGTGTTAGAAATTAGTGAAGTTTCCTAGCTGTGTTGACTCATAAACTATGCCTTACTTCAGTTTTGTTCATTGGATAGTCTGTCAACCAGACCTGAAACAAACATATCCAATACAGCCCATGCAAGTCAATGGTATTTGGCAAATCTAGACTAAGTTTGTGGACTCCTTTTATAATATTTTGCTATGATTATTTAACAAGTGTTCATTTCAGACCCTAGAACTTTTTGTTATTGTTGCCCATACCTGTCTGAGGAAGTTTCGGCATTTTAGTGAATGCTGAGGTCAAGGGAAAAGTTGACACAAATACGACGTTTTTCAAAGTTTTTGTAGGGGTTTCCGTTTGTAGCTGTTTGTCATTTCTACTTACAATAGCATTAAGTGAGATATGTATATAATACTCTATACTTAATCTCAGATGTATGGATTTGCTAACAGGTATAAAAGAATGCCTGAGAGCATACGCCATTCGTTTACTTGGAACCAGTAATACATAATTCCGCTTAGCTGGTTTGCTGTTATGTAATTGTTTGTGACAGGTGGGGATTAAATAAAGTGAGTATGTAGGCCAAGCTTTTATAATCAGGAGGGCGTTGGGGTACCCTAGTGGTTAAAGTGTTCGCTCATTACGCCGAAGACCCGGGTTTGATTCCCCACATGGGTACTGGTACAATGTGTAAAGCCCATTTATCATGTCCTTTGCTGGGATATTGCTAAAAGCGGTGTAAAACTAAACTCACTCACTCATAATCAGGAGTTAACAATCAATTTTTTGTTAGATTAACTATGGTAGCATAAATGTATAAACCACATTTTTTTTGAGGACACACAGGTTTCCAGTTTGCTGATCCACTGAAAATGAAACTATTAAAAATACAGAATTTAGAAATTTAGGATTTGGAAAGTAAATATTGTTTTGCTGATGAAAATAATCTCCAGGATTTTGGGCATTAACTGAAAGGAGACACACTCTAGAATTTATTGTTCATTTCATGAAAACAGCTGTATCAGTCATATTTATGACTGGTGTCATATTCAAGCTATTGAAAAAAACCCAAAAAACCAGTGATATCAGACATTAAAATCTATCGTGCAGCTACTATGCATTCTGACCCAAGTATTTAAATGTTTGACATCCCCCCAAAAATGATGGAAAAAGCAATTAATTAATAGTTAGTGAGTTTTCTTTTAAGCTGAATATTCCAGCAACCTCACAGCGGGGGACACCAGAAATTGGCTTCACACATTGTACCCATGTTGGAATCGAAGCTTGGTCTTCGGTGTGATGAGCCAAGACTTTAACCACTAAGCTACCCCACCGCCCCAATTAATTTATATCTTTTGATGCACTGAACAAAGTTGACAGACAAATCATGTTGGCTTGATATCTGTTACATTCTTCTGTAAGTAAAGTAACCTACCCCAGTCTAGTGTAGACTCTGAAAGGAAATCTTCAGATATTGTGTATCCTGATGTTTTATGTGATGGCTGTAAATATTAATCATGAACAAGATACTCTTCATGGTTGCTATATTGGGAACGTGTTCCATCATCTTAATTAATGACAGCAGTGTGAACCTAATGCCATTGTATATTGACATGATATGTACAAGCTTTCAGTGTATGTAAGACAATAGCCTACAGCTGATTACAACAAGCTATTAACGTGCCTGGGACAGATGTGAGAAGCATAGTGACCCATTATGATGATGATGAGGAGGAGTATAGGGGAGGGATGGGTTGTTATGCCGAGGTATAAAGTCTCATTTTGTGGTATCATGGTTACTTTGGTTACCATACTTTCTCTATTAGATGTGACTCATGAAGATCCGGGTTAGAATTGATCTTCAGCAAGGGCGGTCTGTAAATAATCGTGTCTGGACCAGACAATCCAGTGATCAACACCATGAGCATCAATCCCGATCCTGTTACTCACCTCATATGACAAGCATGGGTTACTGAAGATCAATATTCTAACCCGGATCTTCACGGGTTTTGTCTTAAAAGGCAACTAATGGGATCGAGTGGTCAGGCTCTCTGACTTGGTTGACACATGTCATCGTATCCCAATTGCATAGTTAGATGCTCATGATGTTGATCACTGGAGTGTTTGGTCCAGACTCGATTGTACAGACTGCCGCCATATAGCTGGAATATTGCTGAGTGCGGCATTAAAAAACCAACCAGCCAACCAACAAACTCTATGAGAAGCATGAGTCACGATATGGCTGAAATATTGCTGATGTGACATAAAATTCTAACTCTCACTATTAGATGTGGGACCTCGAGAACCAGCTTCTGTTTGACGCCAAGTTATTGACTATGTCAGAAAATGGATTCCAGATATCTATTCCATGCTTGATCTGTAATACTGTATATGTTGATGGTATATCATAACCAAATGTACCTTTTGTATGACTCCAGGTAGAATTTGGGATTCCGTTAGATCATGAGTTGCCACTGTACCAGCATTATAAACAATACTTGTTGGGCCTCTAACAGATGCCAGATCAATGGCTTGCATGAACAATTAATAGATGCCTGGGCTTCTTTTAGAGAAAATATGGTACATGCATTCAATTTTGTCCAGCTGATGGTGGCAGTGGATTATCTCCCTTTGTGATATTTAGTTACAATCTTTGCAGTTTTGTGGGTGATAAAGTACATAAGACAGTAAGAAAGATGAACCAGTTGGTATTGGATTACCTTTAATGGTGTGCTTTAGTTATCAGGCCTTCAACTTTACACTTTAATTGTGCATATTGACTTCAGCATGTTGAAATGTTCACAAAGGCCAATGTATTGGCTCACATATTCTCACTATTGCACAATAACTTTGAGATGATAAGGAAAGGACTTGTACAACTCAATCCACACACCTTTTGATCTTCAAAATAGACTGAAATGGAGTGGAAATATGTAGTGTGCATCATGCTCGGAATATTTGTTATTGATATTTTCATCTTGATATTTGAAAATGAGTTTATGCTACTCTGAAACACAAAAATTACATTATTCATTCATTCATTCATTCATTCATTCATTCATTCATTCATTCATTCATTCATTCCAAAAATAATTGTTCATAATCATTTTGAAAATGTACATCACAAAAACATTTCTTGCATACTGCCCGAAAAGAACAACTGGTTCTTTCATTATCATTACAGTTAATTTGTCATGATGTAACACATTAACTATAGTAATATGAGAGAATAGGATATCCTTTAATTTCTCCTAAGTGTAGTTATCTTGAAAACAAACATAGCTAGACTTACTTTAAGTCTGACCTAATGGCTAATGTAGATATGATCTACTTCAGAGCATGTAAATCAATTTTTGAATTTAATTTCAGATTTTTCCTGGTCAAAGATGGCTTCCTTATGTACTATGCAGACAATGAGAAGAAGGAGTTTACAAAGAGGACATACTTCAACATCCACCCAAAGGTCAGCATGATTTTATTCTGATCCCATCATCCCGTCTGGATCCGCTGCTCAGAGCCAGGGCAATACACAAGCAGTCACTGTCTGTGCAGGCATTGATTGTATGTGTAGGTGCAAGTCTCCTCACACCTTGCACCTCTGATCAATGTTGGGCAGTTCTGCATCTTCACACTATCGAGCTGAACACATCCTAATCTATAGCCTCTAGCTTCTGTCTCTGTTGCCAACATACAGATTACCCCGAGGTCTGGGCTGGGGCTCACGTGTTGGTTTTGGTAGGATTTGGCTTTTGAATGTACGGAATTGGATCACAAGTCAAATCAAATGGGTTATTCAACATGTTCAAGTAGAGCTGAGTCACCTGAGTGTTAAGTCATTTTGCTCCTAAACTGGCAGTTCATAAATTGTTCAGGTGGGTACTGGTGACTTGGGTGTTTGAAGGAACTGGGGGACGTTCAGGGTGATTGTGTATATATCTCACCTGGCTTGAAGCTTAAAGAGTGAGTAAGCAAATAGTTATGTTGTTGTGTTGTGAAGGCTTGTCTGGGCCAACTGAAATGAGGAAATTATTTGAAGGATGTTTTTCTGTGCAATGTCATGAAAGTAAGATTGTTTATTCTGATGTGATACTGACCAACTATGAGGACACAATATACTAAGTAGGTTATGCCAGGGGATCCCTAAGCTAACTGTGACCTACCCTAATGGAGGAAGTGTGGGTTCTTCAGCCAATCAGATGTCAGAGTTTTTATAAAGCAATTTTCATATCTGTTCTCCCATGATTGGAGTTAAAGATCCAATTCATGGGTTTTCATTGATACTTATAGTTTTAGCTGAATCATTTAAAGCTAATGAAAATTGTTGATTACAAGTATTATAAATAACTGACATTTCTATTCTTGTAAGAAATACACTCAAAGTTCAGAGTGTCATTGGTTGATTTTCAATGATATAACACTGACTCAGTGACTGTCCATCAGTAATTACTTCTGGGCATGTGCAGAATGATACCAGTTAATTTCATGGAAATCATGAGGTTGTTGTCTATAGTTATTCAACTTGAAAGGGGTAGCCTAATGTTTAAAGCATCAGCTCGTAATGCTGAAGACTTGGGTTCGACTCCCAACATGGGTACAGTTAGTGAAGCCCATTTCTGGTGTCCCCAGCCATGATATTGCTGGAATAATGCTGAAAATGACAGACCCAAATATATGCCTGGTGAATGCTATGTTTCGCCTCATGGAAGCAACACACCTGAGCGCCAACACTGACCACCCAATCCATTCAATCACCTGTTACACCTGTTACACCTGTCACTCACTCACTCATCCACTCACTCAACCACTCACTCACTCACTCACTCAACCACTCAACCACTCAACTCAACCACTCAACTCAACTCACTCAACCACTCACTCAACCACTCAACTCAACCACTCAACTCAACCACTCAACTCAACTAAAAAAATGACAGACCCAAATATATGCCTGGTGAATGCTATGTTTCGCCTCATGGAAGCAACACACCTGAGCGCCAACACTGACCACCCAATCCATTCAATCACCTGTTACAAGCCTCAGTTTCTGGAGACCTATTGTTTGCTGGAATCACCAAGTCCAAACATCCATGGTACCAAGATTCATGTTGTGATTGCAGGGTATAGTGCCGCTGGGAGAGTGTGAGTTCAAGACTGTCAACGATGCTGCCCATCCTTTCTGTATTCAGATATCCAGTGACGAGATCAATGTGAGTACAACATAATAGCAACAGGGTCAGACGAAAGAGAACCATAAATATATACGCTTACTCTGTAGCTCAGTATTGGCCTGGTAAAGGGGGAATAATAGAAGTCATCTACTAAAAAGTGGTGTATAAATTACTGTAGATGTGTTGTATAAATTACTGTAGATGTGCATGTATATCCTGTTGGTGATCTAAAAACACTTTCTAGTCGCTGTGAATTCTGTTATCATCATTTATGCTCTGTTGTCTTGATCTCCAGAAAATTAAAACATTTCCCTTGTCCCAACGAGTTTGACACAAGGAAGTTCAAATGTCTATTTACAGATACCAGTGATTTTGACAAATGACAAATGACTAGCTTACAATCTGCTAGAACTCAGTGAAAACATGGAAAATGACAACTTTTGTATATTCCCCTAGTGATCAATCACATCCCACTCCATGTGGTATGTTAAGCAGGGATGTGAGATGTTGAACGGGGATGTTAAGCAGGGATGCTGGATGTTGAACGATGCGGGATGTTGAGCAAGGATGATAAACAGGGATGCGGGATGTTAAGCAGGGATGCAGGATGTTGAGTGGGGATGTGGGATGTTGAACGGGGATGTGGGATGTTGAGCAGGGATGATAAACAGGGATGCGGGATGTTGAACAGGGATGTTAAGCAGGGATGCAGGATGTTAAGCAGGGATGTGGGATGTTGAGCAGGGATGCAGGATGTGCTATGTTCAGCAGGGAAGTGGGATGTTGAATGGGGATGTGGGATGTTAAGCAGGGATGCGGGATGTTGAACGGGGATGTGGGATGTTAAGCAGGGATGCAGGATGTTAAGCAGGCAATGGGAGATGTTGAGCAGGGATGCGGGATGTTGAATGGGGATGTGGGATGTTAAGCAGGGATGTGGGATGTTGAGCAGGGATGTGGGATGTTGAGCAGGGATGTGGGATGTTAAGCAGGGATGTGGGATGTTGAGCAGGGATGTGGGATGTTAAGCAGGGATGTGGGATGTTGAGCAGGGATGCGGGATGTGCTATGTTCAGCAGAGAAGTGTTAAGGGATGTGCTACAATCATTGACTCCATAGTATATCAGACAGGAGAAGAGGGTACAGAGGCAGGTTGAGGGAGGGATGTGCTACAATCATTGACTCCATAGTATATCAGACAGGAGAAGAGGGTATAGAGGCAGGTTGAGGGAGGGATGTGCTACAATCATTGCCTCCATTACCTGTTAGACTGATTGTGACTGAGCCAGATGTGTTAAGTGTAAACATGTCATCATGGCCGGCACATAAACATGCCTCCATGGTGCACATGTGTAAACATCTGTCTGGGGAGAGGAGGAGGGAGCTACATGCTGATACCTGACTGGATTACAACTGTCACTGCCCTGGCTCCGTACAACTTGTTCCTAATGTTTCAGCTACAACCACAGCTCAGAGCTATTTATTGATATTCAGTCTGTATAACTCATCTCTTTAACATGTCTGACTGGATCTTCATCTGACTCCCAGAAACCAGAGATCCCCAAAGCCCATTTAAATGAAAGGTTTATTATGTTTTCCATGTTCACAGAATATTAACATATGAATAATTCATGATAAAGCAGTATGTCATTAAATGTTGTGTATATAATAGAAATTCTGATGTTTGTGAATTAAAATTTTGTTCAATTGTTATCCAATAAGAACTTGTAGATTTAGATAATGCCAATTTACTTGTCCAGCCACCTGTCTGCCCTCTTTAACATAGAAAAAATTCTGAACTGACCAAGAACACACTGGGACTAAGCCCATTTTTAAACGCCATCTATTTGAATGGATATGTTGAAGCCCAGGTGAATTGTGGAACTGAGGTGATCTAGATTGCCAGATTGTTTAAATGTTTGACATGCTTGTTTCTGCTCCATGTAAACAGTATCATTTGAAAGCAAACCTGAGACTGGAGAGTAGGCCTGCAATAGACACATATAGTGTTATTGTTTGGGAGGTTTTAGGCATGTGGCGGATATCTAAGATGCCAGGCGTAGGTAGAGAGAATAACCTTGACTTCACAGTTGTGCTTTTCCATAGCACATGGTGATATTAATTGAAACATTTTGTTAATTGAAAATAGTTTCATTGATTACCATAGAAAGCCCAACATTTAACACAGCCCATGAAGGAAAAGGATTGGGTAAATATTGACATTTAAAAATGAATTTCAGTTTTGGATCTGATTTGGTCAGTGCCAGATCAAACAAGCCAGTTTGTGTTAAATCCCATAATCAATATGATCATGATGTTTGAAGATTCCGTCTGTTGACCTTTTCAATGTACTGTAATAAACTCTGGCCATCTTCTTTGTCTGATGCTTGTGATCTGATGCAAGCCATGCCCCACTGTTGGGATGTACATGTATCTGATATTGACTTGCTTGTGTCTCCACAGGGTCAACTGGTGCTGGCGTTGGAGAGTGATTATGAGAGGAGCAAGTGGATAGAGCTGATGGAGCAGTCCCGCAGAGTGTGAGTTGTCAACCTGTACATTCCTCCTGGCTAGAACTGGTTCCCATGCTTGTCCCGCAGAGTGTGAGTTGGCAACCTGTACATACCTGCTGGCTAGAACTGGTTCCCATGCTTGTCCCACAGAGTGTGAGTTGTCAACCTGTACATTCCTCCTGGCTAGAACTGGTTCCCATGCTTGTCCCACAGAGTGTGAGTTGTACATACCTGCTGGCTAGAACTGGTTCCCATGCTTGTCCCGGAGAGTGTGAGTTGTCAACCTGTACATACCTTCTGGCTAGAACTGGTTCCCATGCTTGTCCCTTAGAGTGTGAGTTGTCAACCTGTACATACCTTCTGGCTAGAACTGGTTCCCATGCTTGTCCAGGCAGAGTGTGAGTTGTCAACCTGTACATTCCCCTGGCTAGAACTGGTTCCCATGCTTGTCCCACTTAGAGTGTGAGTTGTTGACCTGTACATGCCTGCTGGCTAGAACTGGTTCCCATGCTTGTCCCACAGAGTGTGAGTTGTCAACCTGTACATTCCCCTGGCTAGAACTGGTTCCCATGCTTGTCCCAGAGAGTGTGGAGTTGGCAACCTGCACATACCTGCTGGCTAGAACTGGTTCCCATGCTTGTCCCCATTAGAGTGTGAGTTGTCAACCTGTACATACCTTCTGGCTAGAACTGGTTCCCATGCTTGTCCCGCAGAGTGTGAGTTGGCAACCTGCACATACCTGCTGGCTAGAACTGGTTCCCATGCTTGTCCCGCAGAGTGTGAGTTGTCAACCTGTACATGCCTCCTGGCTAGAACTGGTTCCCATGCTTGTCCGCACAGAGTGTGAGTTGTCAACCTGTTCATACCTTCTGGCTAGAACTGGTTCCCATGCTTGTCCCTTGAGAGTGTGAGTTGTCAACCTGTACATACCTTCTGGCTAGAACTGGTTCCCATGCTTGTCCCATAGAGTGTGAGTTGTCAACCTGTACATACCTTCTGGCTAGAACTGGTTCCCATGCTTGTCCCAAGCAGAGTGTGGGTTGTCAACCTGTACATACCTTCTGGCTAGAACTGGTTCCCATGCTTGTCCCGCAGAGTGTGAGTTGTCAACCTGTACATACCTTCTGGCTAGAACTGGTTCCCATGCTTGTCCACAAGTAGAGTGTGAGTTGTCAACCTGTACATACCTGCTGGCTAGAACTGGTTCCCATGCTTGTCCCCCAGAGTGTGAGCTGTCAACCTGTACATACCTGCTGGCTAGAACTGGTTCCCATGCTTGTCCCAAGAGAGTGTGAGTTGGCAACCTGTACATACCTTCTGGCTAGAACTGGTTCCCATGCTTGTCCCAAGCAGAGTGTGAGTTGTCAACCTGTTCATACCTTCTGGCTAGAACTGGTTCCCATGCTTGTCCATAGAGTGTGAGTTGTCAACCTGTACATACCTTCTGGCTAGAACTGGTTCCCATGCTTGTCCCATAGAGTGTGAGTTGTCAACCTGTACATACCTTCTGGCTAGAACTGGTTCCCATGCTTGTCCCAAGAGTGTGAGTTGTTGACCTGTACATACCTTCTGGCTAGAACTGGTTCCCATGCTTGTCCCACAGAGTGTGAGTTGTCAACCTGTACATACCTCCTGGCTAGAACTGGTTCCCATGCTTGTCCCGCAGAGTGTGAGCTGTACATACCTCCTGGCTAGAACTGGTTCCCATGCTTGTCCCGCAGAGTGTGAGTTGTACATACCTTCTGGCTAGAACTGGTTCCGATGCTTGTCTCGCAGAGTGTGAGTTGTCAACCTGATGAGATGATTCCCATTCTTGTCCTGCCGAGATTCTTGGGTAGAACTGGTTCCCATTCTTGTCATGCTGAGATTCTTGGGTAGAACTGGTTCCCATTCTTGTCCTGCCGAGATTCTTGGGTAGAACTGGTTCCCATGCTTGTCATGCTGAGATTCTTGGGTAGAACTGGTTCCCATTCTTGTCCTGCAGAGAATTTTGGGTAGATTTGGTTTTCAGTTACCAATATTTGTTGTGTTGTGATTCTTGGGTGGAACTGCATGATTCTTAATTAGAATTGGTTATCAGTACCCAATACTTGACCATTCAAAGTAACAGACTGTTCAAAGTCAAATTGGACTCAACACCAGCCATCAAGCATACAACCATTATGCTCTCTCTGATACCCATGATACGGATGTTGACTTGTGATGGCTCAGTACCCCACCAGGGAATTATCTGGGACTCCAGACAAAGTTGCTCATGGCAGGCAAATTGGAGAAAAATCATAATATTGTGCAAACTAGATTTTAAAATGTCTTCAATTTCACTCATTATAAGGAACTGATTAATTGTAAATTCAAATTGGGAAATTTTGCATTCATTTTAGGGGGATGAATATGCACCCCTGCACAGGTTTAGATAAATCACTGCCTACCTTGATACAATGTGCAAAGTCCTTTCTGTAAGGTGAGCATGGATTCTCGTGATGATTCCATGTCTGTCTGTGAATACAGTGCCTTCTACAAACCTGTATATATTCTGTAAAACAAACATAATATTTATGAACAAGAAGACCATTAACTTGATGCTTATAAAGATAACATACAGATTGGCCTGAAGGTGGGTCAGCATGCTTATTGCAGTCTGTGCCAACCAAACCTTTAGTGTTCACCAGTTCAAACATGGCTCTCTCATCAATTTCAGCATATTTGACTTAAATCATACATGGCATTTACTTGCTGATTTTAAATGACTCAACAGAAGTTAGTTGATTCAGATTTCAGATTTGTGGTTAGGTCAAAGACATATTGGTACAGGATACTTAACATGGTGAATACAGTGCTTTCAGAAGAGATGATATTGATGATGATTGTGAGGTCATTTAAGTACTAATCAGATTGAACGTGCTGAAATTAGTAAGTATCAGTGCTCCCAGATTCACAGGCCACATTATATAATCCTGGCAATGTTCTTCAAATTACGAAAATTATCCATCTGAATGTGCTCACGAAAATATGTTTTGAAACTAGGCTGAAATTCAGAGATGTGAAGCTATCCATTCAACATTGAAGAGGTTTTATTGTATCTGCTCTAAGATGCAGTTCAATCATGGGCTCTAAAGAATCCACGTCACAATATGGCTGAGATATTGCCGATGTGACGTGAAATAGGAACTCACTCACTCACTCTAAAGAATCCAAATCTGATCCAAGATAACAATGACATTTCTCTCAAGATCATTTTGTAAAGAAGACTATTGGATTATGGTAGTTCCCTATTTGTTGTATGGATAATTGTAGTCCATATTGCTCCTTCAACAAATTTGGTATTATCCTTTGGAGAATATTTCAAACTGTTTAAACTTTTCACCAATTTGAGCATTTATTGGCAAGAGAGATGTTTGTTATATTAACTTGTTAGTGAACACTGTACTCAATGGAATATTGTGCAGTAGTTCGGCACTGTGCTTTATACTGGAACTAAAACTGTAACCTGAATCTGTGATTGTATTTGATGGGATATGCTCGGAACCTTTGAATGTTGTTGTTGATTTGTGAAAAATGTTTCCTGTATATATTTTCAAAAACCCCGTTCATTTCTAGCCCTGCTTACTTGTTGTCATTGAATAATTAGACATATTTATCAAAATAGGGCACGTGTTAAATTTATGTTAAGCCTGTATAGACAAGTTCACAGATTACATGATATTCATGCTTGATATGGTACCAGCAGGAAAATATGCTCTGAACAAGGCAACGCGTTGTCATATGATCCAGGTCCTTAAACCAACTTGAATTAAAATCAATAAATATGTGATTCACAGTCTGAAAACAACAAGACAGGGGGTTTCCCAATGTATAGTGTATGTATAGTGTATTTAAAGAACAATGATTGCAGGACAAGAAAATCAATAGAAGTAAGGAAAATGTGAGGTGAGGTGAGATTGGGTTTAACGTCGTGCTTGAGAATATTTCGCTCATATGACGACGTGCATGCGTGTGTATGTGTGTGTGCAGCTGCTTGTACTAGCCCAGACTTAAGCTGGTTTTATAGTGCTAGCCCACTGAGATACCATGCCGCAGTGAAGCATGAATACCCCACTCAGACACATTATACTGACTCCGAGCCAACCAGTCCTTGTTGTACCCATTAATGCCGGGCGCCAGGCAGGGACCAACAAGTACCATATTTTAACGTCTTTTGGTATGGCCGGTCGGGGATTGAACCCGTGACCTTCTGCTCTCGGGCAGATTGGGCTCTAACCACTACACCCACGGAGGCGGTCAGTAAGGGAAAAGCCTTCTAAGTTAATGTGTTTGTGGCGGTGATGTGGAGGTGTCAAAACCCTTCCCTGATGTCCAACCCGGCCGGTCTGTGACATTGCATGGTCAGCAAGGTTTATTGAGTCCATCAAGGTCTCCAGACAAGGAAGAGACTAAGAGACTGCCACACTAACAGCTGACTGTTCATTCTGGGGGGGATCTAAATCATGAACAGGGGGTCGCATGCTGGCGACACCCTTCGCTAGATCATATTACTGCAATCACCAGCCTTCAGCGTGTTAAATATTGAGATTTCAATGTTGGAATATAGAAGATGAACCACTGTCACTTGAAACGTTTTGTGTCTGTACCAAGGCATGTAAGGTTAATTTGTGCTTAGTATGCATAACATGTATGCATGTGACATGCAGTATTTCGTGTCCGGTACAACCTGCCTCTGTGACTGAATGATGTTGTGCACATGCTACAGCTTGTTTGTATTTTGTAAACTCAGTGTCATTTCTATCTTGCATGTCGTGACTGCTGAGTGGGATTTAATGTCCTCTCCTGTGATATCTATGCCAGGAAATGACAATAGACTTCGAAATGTGTATTCCCAGTGGTGCTTGTGTGTGCAGCATAAACCTTCTTCTCGTTCAGGAGTCAGGAAAATCAACCCGCCATGTTTCACTTGATAAGTCAGTTATGTGCCTTAAAATGGTCTTTATTATTTCTGACATTATTTATATATGTTACTTACCCAGATACCG